ATAAAAAGTTTTAAAAACATGTAAAACAATATGATACATTGTTGATGGCTATACTCAAATATGTAGTAAAAGTACAAAACATTCATGAAAATTATTAAATCCCAAATTCAGCATGGTGATTACTTTTGAAGAAGAAAGGATGGAAATAGGATCCAGGAGGGGTACAAAGGAGGTCTTTCATTATTTCTAATAATTTGTTCTAAAAACAACAGATCTGAAGCAAATTAGGAAAAATGTTACGATGTGACAAGCTAGGCAGTAGTTTACTTATGCTTTTCTGTATGCTTAAAATATTTTAGTTTTTCTTAGATGTAAATATTCTGTGCTTATTTTAGAAAATACAGGAAGTTTAGAAAAGTCAAAATCCATTATTCACAATCCCATTACTAAGAAGCAGATTTCCTTCCATTCTTTTTTAAATGAATTCTAGATAGTTGAGTTATATCACTTTATATTCAAAAAGCATGATAATAAATTTAGATTCCTCTTACCTTCCCTGTAGCAACATGACTTTGATTCAATTGCTGGATAGCATAAAGCAGCTTCCTTCTGTCCAACAAGGAACTAAAAGTATAACAGGATAAGCAAATCTATCATTATTTGCTTAATAGTAATTGCTAGAATATATAATAGTATATAATCAACTCTAGATTATTTACACTAATAGAAAGAGAAGTCAGATTAAAAGGAACAATAATTTAAATTTACTCCTCCTAGAAACTCTCTCCTTCCTTTGCTTCTAAGACATGAAACTCTCCCTGTAGGCTTCTCCCCTTGATCCTCTTTCTCTCTTGGTAAACTCAGACTTCAGCATCTCCTACCTCTCTCCTGAATGCTCAGTTTTTACTTCAGACTTATTTAAAACCTAACTGCAGTCAACATATACACTCACAATCCTGAATTTGCATGACTTATTTAAGTGAAAACACAAGACAGCACTCTTTGAAATAGAGCATAGTGGTAATGAAAAAGGACTTTTGGAATCAGACAAAACTGGCTCACATCCGCACATGGAATCTATAAGTGACTTTGGAAAAGTCATTTATCCTTGTTTGGTACATTGATGTTCTCATCTATAACTTAGGGATGATACTATCTACCTCACAGTGCTGGAGAGGGATTAAACAGTGTGCTGGCAATGAGGTTACAATAAGGACTCAGTTTTGCCCTCAAGAACTACAGGAGAATTTTAACTATGATTACAGGTACTATAGAAATTCTTACTGATTATAAATTCAGTATTTACCCATCAGCAGTGTTTTAACTACAAGAACCTAGGAGTTTATTAGCATAACCAAGTGGAGAATATGTAAACAAAGTGATCTAAATTGGCCAAAGATGTTATATACAGGAAGACTACATTTATTTAACAAACTGAGTTTTCGTCATATCAAAATAACTTTCAGAGAAAAATAACTATTGTTTACTGCAATTAAATCAAATGCAAATGTCTAGGATACAATGCAAGACTTGGAAATGTAGGACAATATAAGACTCCTTAAGCAGGGGTAGTTGTCAGTAAAATCATCAGTCCATGAATGGACTTTTTTATTGATTATAGTGGTGGGCTGCAAAGGTCCAAGTCTGACTTATGAGCACCAAGTATAACTTATGCATGAATCAAATATATATGAAGGTTTTAGCTTTATTTATACCCATCTTCCTTTGTTAGTAATGCCTCAGAATGGTCCAATTTTGAGAAAAAATTTAATAGGAACTAAACAGCTCAAAATCCTGTAATTCATCATCCCGCTTCATTTACTAATTGGTCCTGGCTTGTCAGCTTGGCAGAGTGTCAACAGAAGCAGCAGTCAAGGCGTTTGCCTTTACTAATCTACTAGCTGATCAGATTGAAAAATACATCTTTTGCTAAAAGTCCTAGATAGACTTGGAGTCAGGAGCACTACAATTGGCTTCTATGTTGTATCCTGAGACCCATGGTGACTACAAAATCTAAGAAGGATTTTCCTGGGATGTATAGAAGCATTATTACAGCTGATAAATCATTAAAGCAGCATACCTGTGTTTTACTATTCCCTTGTCCTCCTCATCAGTTTGATATAAGAAACACAGATAATGGGGCTGGTCGAACGGCTCAGTTGGTTAAGAGCGCGAGCTCTGAGCAACAGGGTCGCCAGTTTGATTCCCACATGGGCCAGTGAGTTGTGACTGAACTGAGCTGCCACTGAGCTGCTGCTGAACTGACAACAGGTGGCAGGATGGCTCAGCTGGTGAGAGCATGCGCTCCTAACAACAAGGTTGCCGGTTCAACACCCACATGGGATGGTGGGCTACGCCCACCTGCAAGTAAGATTGAACACGGCACCTTGAGCTGAGCTGCCGCGAGCTGCCCACAGGCGGCAGGATGGCGACTGGACTTGGAGCTGAGCTAGCTGCGCCCTCCACAACTAAGACTGAAGGACAACAACTTGGCTGTTCCCCTCCCCAATTCCCCGACACTGTTCCCCTCTCCCACTTCCCCAATAAAATTTTTAAGATAAAAAAAGAAAAGAAACACAGGTGAAGGCCAGGTTTGGAGGACTTATAAATGAGCTATAACTGACTCAAGTTAAATATAGTTGCATAGTCAAGAATAGCCAGGAGTCACAGCATAAAATAATACCAAAGCTAAACCAGCCTCACTGCCCAGTCTTTTCCTGAACTGATACTCAGTAGTCAACAGCTAATTAATTAAAAGCCCCAAAATTAAACTATTAACTGATTAAAGTGATTTATTTATGAATAGCACCCACAACCTAGAGGTTTTTTTTCTCTCTTGTTTTCGAAAAGGCTATGGCAAAATAATTACCTTAAATGAAGATTTACAGTAGTCATGGGCCAGGATAGTTAGACCCTAATAAGATTTAATGCCTGTATTTCATCATTTCTGAAATTGAATGTTTCTTAAACATTTATGTGATGTGTATATTTAATGTGACAATATTTCTTATTTCCTAGAAAAACCTTTTATGTATTTATTTTTAAATTTTTTTTATTATTTTTTTATTAGGGAATAGCCATGGTCATTGCTTTCATGCTACAATGGCATAGTTTACTCTTTTCAGGGAGGACGCAACTCACAGTGGCCCATGCAGGGATCGAACCGGTAACCTTGGTGTTATCAGCACCATACTCTAACCAACTGAGCTAACCAGTCACCCCTAGAAAAACCTTTTAAATCAACAGTTGATCATAAAATTGAGGAAATATAAGTCTAAACTGGATTCCCCTTAGAAAGCAGGGTCTAGGACAAGAGCATGCATAAAGGTAACTTATTACAGGATGTGACTCCTGGGAATAGGAGTGGGGTACTAGGAAAGGTGAAATAAGAAACAAGGAAAGAGAAAGTACACGGGCACATTAGTAAGTTGGTTGCACTGGTACCACTGCGAACAACTTCAGCTGATCCCACCAGGATCTGCAAAGGCAGATCTGTCCAGCAGAACTTCTTCATGATGGAAATGAAATGTTCTGTACCGGTCCTGTCCAACATGGTAGCCATGAGCCATACGTGGCTAATTGAGCACTTGAAATATGGCTAACGTAACTGAAGAATTGACATTTTAGTTTAGCTTAATTTTAATTAACTTAAACGTGTAGGTAGTGGCCACTGTACAGGAAAACAGCTCTGAGGAGGCCTGCAGAATCCTCCCCAGAGTTCTGAGGCAGTCACAAAAGGTGTGCCATAGAGTGCTCTTTTTGGAATTTTGTCCGTTTTGTTCACTCATGTGTCCCAGGTTCCTTGAAAAATGCCTAACACATAGTGAGCCCTCTAAAAATATTTTTTGAATAAATCAATAATGTTTGGGTCCGCAAAGTATATGGTTCCCTTTAAAAGACTCTATCAGAACAAATTCCATTCAATTAAAATGGTAAGCAACAATTATACACACAAAAAAATAGGTAGTAAGGGGAATTGTGAAGGGATTGAAATGTGATTATCAAAGAGGCAAGATGAAGTCCCTGAAGATTCCGATCCAAAGGACATTTTTTTTTTTTAAGATTTTTATTGGGGAATTGGGGGATGGGAACAGTGCTGGGGAATTGGGGGAAGGGGAACAGACAAGTTGCTGTCCTTTTGGTCTTCAGTCTAGTTGTGGGGGATGTTGCTTCACTGGCACAAGTTGGCACCATCATTGTGCTCTTCCCGGGTGAGGCAGATCAGTCGCCGGCTTCTGGACAGCCGCTCATGGCGACTGCTGGCCGCTCACGCTGGCTGCTGGCTACATACGGTAGCCCGTGGCAACCCACTGCAGCAGGGGCTGCAGCCTACACCGTCGCTGGTGACTCACTTGGCAGCCCAGCTCCAGGTTGAGCTGTTGTTCAGCATCTTAGCTGTAGCGGGCATTGTCACTGGCCCTCATATGTGGGATCCGAACCGGGGCCCTCTGGCGTCCCAAGCCAGTTCTTAACCAACGTGCCACTCGGCCGGCCCCCAAAGGGCATTTTTTAAAAGTCAGTCAAAGGTGATCTTTTTTCACAATCTACTTCCATTATCAATTATTAAGCAACAGTACATGAATTCAGTATAATCCTTTGTTTTGATTCTTTGGTTACTGTTACCACAAACAACATGTAGCTAAGTGGAATTCCAGGAGAAAAGACCATATTGCACCACTGCTGCCAATTCTAAAATAAACAGTCTTCATCTTAAGGAATATTTAAATATTGCATCATCAACTGAGGTCTTTAAGTGGACCCACACTAATCTAGACCCTAGAAACTCCAGCCATACATAAGGATCTCTATGAAGATAATTTATTAAGGGCTTATCATGTGAGAATCACTTGACATACATTATCTCATTATTATTATCCATTTCACAGGTACAGAAACTGAAGGTTAAATAACTTGTCCCAAATCATACAATGAAAAAGAGTCAAACTACTTTGGAGAATGTCTTTAAATATAACAGCTGTTATACATTCCAGTCTTGAGAGTTTTAGATCTAGAAATATGTTCAAGAGAGGGTTAAAGCCTTGCTTTTCTTGCCAACATTTTTTTCCTCTATCAGTTTTTTTATATATTTTCTGGTATGTATAATTCATTTATTCTGAACTTGAGTAAAAAGTTAGACACTACCAACTTCATGAAGGATTGTCAGCAAAATTTTTAAAAATAGGAATCATTAGTAATGTTAAACATAGGATCTACAAACAAAAACAACTGTGTCGGGGGACGGGGGGTGACCGGTTAGCTCAGTTAGAGCTTCGTGCTGATAACACCAAGGGTGCCGGTTTGATCCCTGCATGGGCCACTGTGAGCTGCACCTTCCTTAACCAGCAAGAGAGGATTGTTTTAAAACACTTCCTAGATTTAAAATGAGGATAGTTAATATCAGCAATCTTGGGATTTGTCCCTCAAAGGTGAATAAAAAGATCACAAGTGTTCTTGACTACAAGGTGAATTTTATCATTCTTACCTTACTCCAAGTTTCTCAAGAGAAGACTCATTAAGACGGGACAGTGATGAACCTGTGATATTATTGTCTATGGAAGAAAAGGGAGAAAGAGATTATTTCAATATTTATGCTTTTTTATTTATTTCCATTTGAATCCACCAGAATTTACTCAGATCAACTGAATGCACCCAATATAGGCAATGGACTGTGCCAAATACTACTTTTCTGATTTGCCACTAGGAAGGCCTTAATTTAATTAGTCAACTATACCACGAACCTTTACTTTTTGATAAATCAGGTGAAAATTTTTTAATTACTTGAGAAAATTATTTCCAAGGAAGTCCAGTTGCAAAACCAGCACTAACTTCTAAAACAGGTGAGGTTTGGGGTGGGGGTAGGGAGTGTTCTTAGAACACTCAGGTCAAAACCACAGCCTGTGGTGTGCCCAAAGTGTTGATTTAGTTCTAAAACCTCCAAGTAAAACACTATTCTGTGTTTTGAAAGACATATAGATAGATAGACTGATAGATAGATAGATAGATAGATGTTTTATTTTTCTTTCTCTAGCTATATAATTAATTCTAGTCCTTCCTGACCTCAGATTCCAGAATTCTGGGCTATTTTCAAGCAAACAAAAATCTTCTTTCTAAAGGTAACGAGAGACCCAAAGTGACAGAATAAACAAGCTGATGGTTGCCAAAAGGAAGAGGGGTGGGAAGATGGGTGGAAAAAACTTTTTTTAAAAAGGTCCATTTTCGGCTGGCTGAGTGGCTCAGTTGGTTAAGAGCTCGCTCAAAGGTTTGCGCTCTGAGCAACAGCGGTTCGAGTCCGGCCCGAGCTGAGCTGCCGCTGAGCTGCCAACAGGTGACAGGATGGCTCAGCTAAAAAAAAAAAAAAAAAAAAAAAAAGGTCCACTTTCCATGGTCACATAAGAAAAAGGTTAATGAGAGAATACGAGGAATTCCCAAAAGGAAAAAAAAGTCTAAATGACAATGGCAGTTTTTGTATTTTTCTATCACAAAATATTATTCAATGTGAAAAAATCCAAACAATATAAAAATATAAAGTATAGAATGTCAAAACTTAAATTCTCCCAATAACCACTGTTAACGTTTTAGGTATCATTCCAGACATTCATTTATGCAATTATGTAGTTTTATACAAATGAAATTATGTTGTTTAGAATCTATTTTTTCCCACCCAAAGATCTTTCTTGTCCATTATTAAACTACATCATTTTTTTTTAAAGATTTTTTTTTTAATTGGGGAATTGGGGGATGGGAACAGTGCTGGGGAATTGGGGGAAGGGGAACAGACAAGTTGCTATCCTTTTTTTTTGTTCTTCAGTCTAGTTGTGGAGGACGTTGCTTCACTGGCCCAAGTTGGCATCATCATTGCGCTCTTCGCGGGCGAGGCAGATCAGTCGCTGGCTTCTGGATGGCCGCTCACTGTGGCTGCTGGCCGCTCACGCTGGCTGCTGGCTACACACGGTAGCCTATGGCAACCCACTGCAGCAGGGATTGCAGACTACGCCGTCGCCGGCGACCCACAGCAGCCCAGCTCCAGGTAGAGCTGTTGTTCAGCATCTTAGCTGTGGAGGGCAGTGTCACTGGCCCTCATATGTGGGATCCGAACCAGGGCCCTCTGGCGTCTCAAGCCAGCTCTTAACCAACACGCCTCTTGGCC